TCATGTGCCTACTCAGCTGTATTATTATGAGCCCCAAGAATAGCTTCCACGTTGTGGAGGCAAGTAATCGGTCGATAGTTTAATGGTGTCATACCCTTGTGCAGATTCTCCATGATCAGGATTATCCTGTCCTATGTTAGTCGGTCCTGATGAGAAGCAGGTATTAGCAGCCCCCTTTGTCGTGTTGCTAGGTGCCATTTCTTCACCCAGTAGGGGTGGGTGATGTCAGATCCTGATGCTGTCCAGTTCTTCATTCTGGAGGCATGTAGTTGGATGTTTGCCTTTGTGATATTTACTGACTCTTGCTTCGTGAGGTTGCTGTGGTCTACTCTTAGTTCCCACCAGCCTTTTGGCATTGATCCCCAAAAAGTTGATTCTGTTCATCCGGACCCTATATCCAGATGAACAGCAGTGTTCACATTCACAAGTGACGTTATCTGAAAAGAACGTGTGAGAATCGATAGACTTAAATCATTTTTGGACAGATAAATAGACAGGCAAAAGGCATTTTATCCTGTGACCTAACTGCTGATTTACTACAACACATCCCTGACCTTGTGCAGATTTTTCCAGTCCTGTGATTTCTTTTTCGAACAAGTTAAATATCCGTGTGAGTAATTAAGCCAGTGGTTTTATTACTGGCCAATTAGTCTGATACCCACTCTCACTGAATTGCCTGCTTATCTGTTTCTGTGTTTGCACACTCTCTGCATAAATGTGCTGACACAAACACACACACACGCACACAAACACACACACACACACACACTAACAGGCACAATCAGCATAAAGTGTGTATTCTGCTTCAGCATGGACCAGATAGAGAACATCGTGCTAAGTATGTTTGCTCTCCATTGGTGCTAACAGCTAGATAACAGTTAATACAATCACCAAAGTGACTGGCTTATCTTTCAGCTCTGTTGTTGAAAAGTTACTGGAAAAGTATTACAGCAAAACTTTACCATTTGTGATTATCAAAAAGTCAACTAAAAGGAAAACAAATGCATAGAACTATGTTCTTTTTAAATCTCAATTACCATTAAATGTTCACATACACAGGAGATTTCATAAATTCATTAAGGATATTAAAATCCTTAATGAATTAAATGAAACCATGTGTATGTGCTGTTTAACTTTCTGTTGCCTAGTCTCTGTAAGTACTTTCTCATTTCTCTGTTCCCTTGACTGTTGGTCTCAGTTCTGGCTGTTCCTTGGCCTTAACCTGTTTCTTTTTTCTTTATTGTTTTGCCTTTGGAGTCCTCCAGTCTCAGAGCTGTATTAAGTGACATATACTCCATAAGTTGGGAGCAGGAGCTTGATTGAGTTGCATTTCATGTATGGCTGTGGTATCTCTATATACACTTTGGAGTAAAGGCGCAAGCAAATGCATTCACATTATTTAGGGGAGAAACTATGGTTCTGAGAGCACACTTTTTATCTTTTTGAAATATATTTTTGCCTCAATTATTTCTACTGCTACTCTTAGTTGCACTGCTTGTAATGTGAATATTACAACAAGTGTAGTGTTACTAACAAGGCTCCCAGCTCTTATACACTTATTGTAAGATTATATATGCACATCCATTCTTACACAGACCTGACAATTTTTTGGGGCATAAAGTAGACACTGACAGCTCACAGACAGATAAGGCAGAGCAGAGCAGCACAACATTGAGTTACAGATGGTAAGTGAGGAATATCCACAAATCTGTTACATTCTAATGTATTCCAATCCACATTGCTCTGACTGTGGCTCATCTGTAGCACAGGGTCCTTTCACACTGTGCACGCACAGGCAGCCTCCCCACCAATTATATAGCTTTCCAAGTTTGCTCCTCTGTTGTAAAAGATAATAAGGTTTCAGTGATACCACTAGCTTCCTTCTTCTTTTTGTCCACTTTACTGAAACACTTCTATGCATCTGTATCTGCTGATAAACTCAGATAGCCAAGTTCTTAAAATGCACTTCAGGGAGACATATATTGTGAAGATACTAAAGGTACAAACTGTTGCGAAATAAAAAAATAAATAAAGCTAAAATGAACTCTTTAATGCATCCTGTTCAAACCCTTTTGTGGATTTATTGGTGTGGGGAGAAAACAAAAACAAACATAGTCATAAATAAGGAACCAAAATATATTTTTGAGTTAATGTTCTCTCTATATTGTCTACCCCCCCCCCCCCCCCTTTGTGAAACTTTGAACCAGATTATTTGGGATTCTGAACTGGGTGGTTTTGTGGGGAGGTGGAAAGGGAGCTGGATGTAATATTAAAATATTGTTCCTACCTGAAACAAAGGGAGCATGGTGTACAGAATGTGAAAGAATACAGTAAATCTAATACACACTCTGCTTTTTTGATTTCCCTGTGACATTAGTCAAAACTTATTTATTTATTTATTTATTTATATTATTAAATTTAGGTGTGCCTCTATTGGTACCACAACAGCACATCCAAAATGTGGCATTTTGTGTATTTAGTCACACCAACAATATAGGTCTGAGAATTTAAATCAGATTCTCATTTTGGTGAAAGATGAAATATGATAACTGGATGGATTATCAAAATATCAACATTATTAATCACCAGCTACTTGATTATCAAAAGGTTACCAAAAGGACTTTACCAATGTGCCTTTAAGAATCTCTTAACTTTTCTTCTCCAGCTACTTTTAAGTTATAATTCTTAAATGTCCAAATAAGCATCGCATAGTTTCCAGTTCCCATAAAAGAAATAATAAAAAACACCCCTAACAATTCCAATCAACTTTTGCAGTGTTTGAGTTTATATCTGCATTGTTTAGCATGATGATAAACATCAGCAAATTATTATTA